TTTAAAAAAAAAAAAAAGAAAGTTGGGGGGGGGTGGTGACACTGAGAAAACCCAGTATCTTACACATTGTGTCTCATTTGAAGTAAAGCACACTCCTACCGTGACTGATGTGAATCAGCATTACTCTTTGTTAAATTCCCATTACCCGCGACAAAAACTCACCCTTATTTACTATCGACGACCTATGAGACAGAAACTGTATCTGCTGCATTACCTTCATGTTCTAGATTTCACTCTTACAATTTGGAGATCAAATGTGGGTAAGCACCGGATGGTGACAAGAAGCAACCGCAGCAGATGCGTTCTGGTGGGTTAATTACCTCCCCCAAAGGACTGTTATTACAGTAGAGCATAGTTTTTTTTTAAGTCGTTTTGAGACAGTAAAATAAAGGGATGAAATGACTTAACTGTGGAAGCTATAGTTAATTGGCTCTGAATCAATTGTTTTAGTGATGAATAGAGACTTTGCCTCAAAAACAAAAAACACCACACACACACCAAAACCCCAGTGGACAAGTGCAATTTAAAATCTGATGCAATATACAAAACGAACTCTCGAGTAGAAATCCCAGTGAATGACCACTGTGGCCCAGTGTTTTAATACAAACAAACACACAGTAAAATATACACCCTCGCCATAAAAGGAAAATCACAGCAAACAAAAGCCTATTTCTGTCCTGGAAAATGGCCTGCCATTTTCTGGGAGGTCAATTCTCTCTGAGGCGAGAGCTTGGTCAAAGGAGCAGTGGAAGCAGCTGGGGGTGGTGGCGGGGGAGCCTGGAGCGCTGACATCTCAAACCCTGATTTCTGCCAACCACAAGTAGTCTTGTGGTAACTCAGGAGCTCTCCTCTCCTGATCGTAAGGTCATGCCACCCTGAGGATGGGCTCCGTCCGCCTTCCCGAACTTGAAGAGGGAGCTGAATCTTTCTGGGAAGACTTATGCCTGGCAAGCGTTGAGCTGGCGAGGCACAAAGCCAAGTGCAATTATGTACGCTCAACTGAGAAGACCCAGGAAAGTTAGGTTGCGAACCGCCGCAGATGAATATAGGTAACTACTCTTACAATAGAGCCTTTTCGGAGTTTCAATCCGTACAGACCCCTAGCCGCTCTTCCTCAGCCACACAAGTCTCATAAAGGTCATAACCGAAACAGTTTCCATTATGATCTGCACAACAGTACCAGCACTTAATGAAAGACAAGCTGCAAACCAACCGAGGGACTCCTACCCTTTCGGGAGGGCAGTGGGGACGCAGCCTGACGAAATATTCCTACCTGGTCCCTCCTTGCCACCCCTTCGCACGTGCAACCCTCCCTTTGAAAAATTACTCTAGGGCCGGCCCCTTCTGCGAGTGCCGATGCGAGCGTGTTGTGGCTGTAAACGACGGAGCGCCAACTCTCTAAATGCAAGTCACTGGGAAAGGCAGGTCACCCGTGTCAACCCCCCCACGCCAACGTGAAGTTAAACGTCTGGAATGTGAGCAGATGAGGAGGCGGCCAGGGTTCTCCGATTCCAGGGCCACTAAGTACACGGGGCCACAGAGGAGACGCGCACACAGCGGGGCCATGAGAACCTAGAGGGGAAAGAAAGTGGATCCACAGCAAGGTCCGGGGTGTGGGAAAGCTCCGCCGGGGAGCGGAGAGGGCGAGAGGGAGCCGAGGTGGGCCGGCCGGGGGTTCTCGAGGGCGGTGGGCGCTCGGGCACCAGGCCCGGCCTCCCCGGCCCGGCACGGACAGTCGCGCGGCCCTCACCTTGTCCGAGTCCAGGTCGGGGTCGGCCTGGCACAGACGGTACAGGAAGGATTTCGGGTCCCGGCACAGCGTCTGCCGGGTGGTGAGGAAGTAGGTGCCGCCGACGTTGAGCCGAACCCACTTGGACACGCCGCCGGGGCGCTGGGCCAGGGCACCGAGCCCCGCGCTGCAGCGGCGGCACAGGCCGGCCCCCAGCCCCGCCCCGAGGCCGCCCGGAGCCGGCGGCAGCGGCTCGCAGTGATTCTCCGCCATGATCCCAGCAAGCCCCGCCACAGCTCCTCTCCACCGGAAGCGTCCGGCCTTTAATACCGTCCTCCTAGCTCTGTCCCGCCCACGGGTCCGCCCTCGTAAAGCGCCCGCCCTGGTGTCACGCGGCAGGCGGAAGTTCCGGTCCGGAAAAGCGACCGGCCGAGCCCCCTTCCGGCCGGAGCCGGGCGTCGGGCTCGAGGGGCTCGCCGGCCTCCGCCCCCGCCCGTGCGGCGCATGGACGCTGGGTTCCGGGCCCGGAATGCAGGTGGCCGCCGAGCCCGACCCGCGCCCCCCGTCAAAGAAGAGTTAGGCCAGCGAGCGTCTACACTCTACATGCTTTTTATTACAAGACTACCGAGCATACGTGGAAAATTCATCATCCAGTAACTACATCTAAAGCACAAATATTTGAAAAAAAGAGAAGAAACAGATTCATTAAATTATATGATTAAATCATTGACCAAATAGAAAATTTATATAATAAAGCCAGAAAAAAAGTTGTAAAATATAGTTTACAATAATTATTCACATTCAAGGCTGTACATCAATACATACAACAACGTGGCCCCGAACATGAATTCAATCCAAATAATTCATATATTAGATTTTAAATAACACAGACTGAACTAGAGGCCAACAATAGCCAGCAAATAACCTTATATAAGAATAAAAATACAAAAGTGTATATCCTAATATCATTGCATTATTTGTTTTCATAAGTTTTAAATTTTTGCTTTGCCTGTACATCACAGTTACAGCTACAGACCAGGTAGAGAATTTTACACATGTTCTAACTGACTGCCACCAACCTGAAAGACAGCTAACATACTATTGATTCATCCGATTTTGTGTTAAGGAACAGCTACAGCAGTTCTAAATAATGCAAAAATTTATTTTTGTCAATGTCCAATCAAACTTCTGATAAGGATAGAGAGGCTTTTCACCAGCAAAACGACCCCTATTCAAAAATCATTCTGCCAGATTGGTTGGGACTAGGGTGGATCACACGCTAAAAAAAGGTCTGCCTTTTGTAAAAAGTTCTCTGTTCGCGAAGTTTGGTGTCTCTTCACACTGAAAAAGTGGGTTCTGGGGAAAATTCAGGTATACATGTAGGCTAGTTCAGTTGCCCATCACAGCTGTCCGAGCTACAGATAAAACTGCTCTTGGCTGGAACAGCTCCTTCCCCAAACCAGTTCTCCACAGGCAGCCTGATTTGCAACTCCGCAACCTTGGGCCAGCAGCCTGCCCCCCTCAGAAGCTCTGGAAGTGACTCCTGCCCTGATTTAGGGCACTTGCCATATAGGCTGCCTAAGTGGGAAGGGCCACACCCACCTGAGTCACTGTCAGCTCATGTGAGCTTTGGATGAAAAGAAACAATGTGGAAAAATGCACATGGCGACATCTCTAAGAATAGTACCTGCATCATATTCTGGCAAGCGGCTGCAGCCTCTGCGGTCTGGGGAGTGAGCACCCTGTCTGTGGACCGGACAGGGGACAGGGGACCTGGGGTGTCAGAGGAGGGCAGGAAGTCCAATTCTCCACAATCCAGCCAAAAATCTCTGGCAGACTCAAGTGACACTGAGCACAGCACCTAAAAAATCTCTCACACACCTCTCCTCTCAGAATCAATGGACCCCAAACTAAAGTGGAGAAATTAGGAATGAAACCAAATTGGGTGTTCTGGGTTTGAAGACAGCCAGACAACCTGCAACACTGTGAGGGAGGACAGGGGAGGAGTCCCGAAAGCCACGTGGGCCAGGACAATCACCCTCTACAGTGAAAAGGCCTGGCCACTGCGCTCTACTAACTGCTAAGACCTTCCTACTGAGTGCCACCATTTGAAGAGCACAGGGGCAAATAACCTTATGTTAAACCCAACTGCCTACATGGTCTCTTTCTCAAGTAGACATTTTGCTCTTTTACTGATTCCAAATGGCCCAATGTATTTTCGGAGTCTACACACACTTAATTACAAATCATCCACTATGCATGTGGCAAGGTCAGTTCAACACTTTTTATCTCTGCTGCCTGTGCAGATGCAAATTCAGTACCATTGTGGACACAAAGTACAAGCTTCTGAAAATATCACCAAGCATGTGAAAGCCACAGCAGCAGGGATGGGAAGGTAACTAACATGCAAGCATAACCAGATTCTGTCAATGAAAATAAGGAAATGCATTTTTGGAAAAATCTGTCACAAACGGACTGCAATAAATGATATTTTAGCATTGTGGGGGGAAAAAAAAAGAGCAGTCTTATTAAAACATTCTTTGGAACACACACCTTAGCAGAAACTGATTTGTCCAGAATCTGTAGGACAACTGAGGAGGTTGTGTGCTGGAACTCTGAGCATCTAAGCCTCAGATGAAGACAGGAAGAGAGACTAATACCACCTTTAAAACAAACTCTTTGTGACCCCAAAACACTACTTCTAGGAACCAAGGGTGGGGGGCGATCAGAGTCAAAATCAAAGATTTACGAGGGTATTCATCACAGCATTATTTAAATAGTGAAAAACCAGAAACCATCTAAATGTTTTATAACAGGAAAATGGTCAGATAAGTTACGATAAAACTGATAACCATATTAAGCTCTACAATCACTAAAAACAATGTTTTTAATCATTGTTCATGATGTGGAAAAATGCCTAAGATAAATTATCAAGTGAAACAAGCTAGATGCAGAACAGTGTGTGTTTCATGTTCCCACTTCAGTTTAAAAAGCAAACAAATATGTGCATGGGGGGTGGGGGGGTTATACACCAAAATGTTCACAGTGGTCTCTTCTGGGTGGTAAGCCTACAGCTGATGTTCTCAGAAAGCAAATGTTTTAAGAAAGTACAGAACCACCTGGAGCCCCTGGGCTGGCACCTGGCCCTCGGTGAGTTTGTGCCACGGGGCGACTCCTGCAATGCCTACAGGCCTCGGCCACAAATACCACAGGGCGGCAGTAAGGGCCTGGAGAACGTGCGGGGCCCACCAGCTCCGGCACACCCGCGAGAGGCATCTCCCGCAAAGCAGGTCTGTAACACTCCTGAGAGCCAAGGTTCAGAACAGCAGGTGCAGTGCCTTTGTGCACCCCACGGGGCCACCTGCTACACGACCCATCGCCCACTGTCCTGGTCAGGTCCACAGAAAGAGGGAAGGAAACAGCCCCACCCAAGCCTGGCTTCCTGGAGTTCCCAGAGAGGGGCAAGGCGCAGTGGGCCACCTGAGCCTGTGGAGGCCACAGCCCCACTCCCTCCCCTCCATGCCCAGCGAGGCCACATGGTATGGGACCAGCTCTGCGTGCCGGCTATGTGGTTGGCACTGAACCTTCTCCTGGCCCTCACTAAGACACATGGCTCCTGAATCTAGTCAACAGAGCACTTTCTTTCTCAGTGTGGATAAATCACCTGTACTTCCATGTATGTCTGGTACATACTCGATTGACAGCCATGCCCACATCTTAGAAGGCAAGGCACCTGCACCGGGGACAGGCACTCTAAGGACAAGCTGCATACAACGAAAGCCGACATGGACAAGCACAGGGTAGGAAAAGAACATGTATGTGCCTTAAAAAAAAAGAGGAGGGGGGAAGAAGGCTCTGAGAGGAGAAAGGTGGCGAAGGGAGAAGGGCTCAGCTGTCACTGGCTCAGGCAAGGGCAGTCACTTCAACTCTGTCAGCTGCGAGCTGAACCCTGAACCCCTCATTCTCTGGTTCCGGAGGTTACGATGGAGCTGGCGGGTGAAGCCCAGGAGGTAGTGGCGCTGTCCAGAGAGGAATGCAGCAGACGCTGCGTCTCTCCCGGAGCAGCCCAGCCGAGCGCTCTTGTGAGAGCCAAACGCCAGCCCTGCTTGTTTCCCCATAACCGGACCCAAGGAAGAACACTGTGCAAGAGCAGCCCCCAACTCTCCAAACAGCACGCCCACAGACGCGGGTGTTCTAAGAAAGGTTAAATGATCAACACGGGGAGTAAGCTGGAAATGACATTCCTGAAGGCCCAGAGAGACTTAATTTTTGAAAAGCAGGTGAACACAGGCAAGCCTCTTCAAAAGCGAGGAGAAGGAAGAGGGAAGCGTGACCTATGACCCTGACCCCAGCAGCATCCCACTCCCCTGGGTGCCCCAAGGGCAGGCACGCCCCCCACAGCTTGGCACCCGCCCTGGCATGGGCACGCGCGCACACGCACCCTCGCTCACTCATGCACGCGCAGCTCTCATACAGCAGTGCACAAGACCCAAAAGGAAGCCGCCGGCACTCCCTGCCCCACCTCCGCTCCTGTCCGGCCCCCTGCACGGCCCAGCAGGGGCAGCTCCACAGCCACACTCCCCTCACCGGGTTGACACAAGGGCCACTCATATCACTAAACCCATTTGAGAAAGACATCTTTTCTCCGATTTGGACCACTCGTCAACACGGGGTGACGGATGCTTTGTTCAAGACAGGAGATGGGGGCAGAGTGGTCAGGGGGGACCTCTCCTGTGTGAGCCTTCTACTGGTGCCTTCGTGAAAGTCTCCAGGAAACGGCAAAGTTGTTCATCCCCTGGGGACAGATATGAGTCTGTGAGCAGCCTGCAGGCAGCAGTGCCTCTACCCCGCCCACCTGGGGCTGCGGACTGCCCTCAAGGGACACGGGCAGGGAGAGGAGCTCCGAGCCCCACCAGGCCCACAGGCTTTCTCTGTCCAGGGAGCAGCAGCAAAGAAATCAAAGGACCAGTAAATCGTGGACCCCCTGCGGTAGGTATGCAGCACTGTGCTGCCTCTGAAAAGAGAAAGGCAGGCAGGCTGAAAGCGCAGGGGGCGAGCAGGCTGGGCGCTCAGACTCCAGTGTGGTGTTCCTACCCCTCATGCAAGGTGAGCAACATTTTCTTCCTGGCAAGGTCCACATCTTGATGGGGATAAATGACCTGGCAGCATGAGAAGGCTTTCAGACTTTCACTGTGGAGATGTGAACGTGCTGGAAGTCAGGCTACAAGAACGTTCCCTCACCACGAAAGGGGTGCGTGTCACAGCTGGGAGACCGCTGGTGCCCAGAGACCCTCAGCCCTAGCAAACTGCGCCGGGGGGCCTGCATGTTCCACCCTCGGACCAAACTCTCAGGAGGGGCTCATCAGGCAGCACTCCCCCACGTGGGGGACGCCAGGCCCAGTCTGCCCTGCTGCCCTGGCCTCGTGCCCAGAGCAGGGCACAGCCTTCCCTGTCTCCTGGCGCAACTGGGTGCCCACCTCTGACAGTGCTCTTTTCAGACCTGTGCTTCTTTCGAGCTCCACAGGGCCAACCCCGCTCAGAGGGACGTTCAATGCGAACGGCCTGCTGGCACCCTTCAACCTCAGCAGCGGCTCCATAGCACACCCCGACAGCCCGCTCCACATCTCCGCACCTGGAGCCTGCCCAACGAACACAAGCCATGGAGTGCTCACAGCCAGAGCAATGCAAGAAGGCAAGCAGGGGCCCTGGCAGGGCAAAGGGGCATCAAGTAAGGGACACAAGAAAAGAAGTACACAGACCAAAGCCAAGAACCCTCCCACCCGCCAGAGATCGAAGCCACCCTGGCAGAGGCGTGCATGGCTCCCTGCCGACGGGTTCTGTGATAACCTAGGGGCAGGAAGAGCCCAGACACACACCCCATCCCCTCGGCCACAGGAGGACCGGCCGGTGCATGACCAGGGCGTGTGGTGCAGAGCTGGTGACTCGAGTCTGTTCCACTCGCCCGGGCGGGAATCAGGTGGACGTGCACGGCGCTGGGTCCCCAAAACAAGGAGAGCTTGGGGAGCCTCCACAGAGCACAGAGAGCAAGCAAAGCGACCCTGAATTCCTTTTCGTTATTGGTTTTGTTCTTTGTGTGGTTGGGTATTTTTTTCTTCTTTTCTTTTAAATAAAAAAGCTGCAAGGTTCTGCCGTCTGCGTCCCCCTTGAGATGGCTGGCAGGTGGTCTGGAAGCGTCCCGGAGGGCGGTGAGCCGCGCTGGGGCAAGTGTCCTGGCAGCGACTGCGGCAGCCGCAGACCTGTCACTGCACGGCGGCATCCGGGTGGCTCTGGTATCTGTGTCTCCACACTTCCTGGATCTTTTTGCACCATTTGTGAGCGTTCCCACTTGGGTCCATCAGGTAATACGTCCTGTTCGGCTGTGGAGACAGAAACCGTTTAACGATGCTGAGGGGGTGCCACCAAGAGCAGCACCCTACTGCAGCCACGGAGGGTACATTTGGAGGCACACGAGCATGGGTTTTCCCTGTGCATATGTGCAGACATCACACGTGTGGGCAAGGACCTACAGTTCCCTTAGGTCACCCCCACCCTGACAAACAAGCACAGGGGCCTGGGGGGCCCAGCTCGCAGCTGAGCTGGGAGCGTGGGGCCCCTGGGACACGAGAAAAGGGGGAGACAACTGCCCTGCAGAGGAGAACCCGTACAGACAAACTCACTGTGTGCACAAAGAAGGTTTTAAAGTTCTTGGCCTCTGGTCGGAGTTCTTGCGACCATGGAATTTCGCCTTTGAGGACTTTGTTGACAGGATCCACATAATACAAGTGTGGCCCTTCTGTGAGCAGTAACTGTCGTCGTCGTGCAAACAAGCCCTGATGCAAAACGAAAAGACCCTGCTCGTCAGGGCTCAGAAGTGGGAGCGGGCAGCACCTACCGCGGCCTCAGAGGCTTGGCCATCACAGCAGCCTGGGGCTCGGGACCAGCGCCAGCCCTCTGTCCACTCGCCTGGAACCTGGCCTCTCAGGTCACAGAGGGGCAGGCAGAATGAAGCGCCCAGCCTGCCTGGCCTTTGTGAGCTGGATTCCAACAGCCCCACTTGGGCGTGTCTCCCTCCTGCTGCCACATGAGGGAGCGGCAGCACCGGCAAGCAAAACCGAGCCTGCTCCACCGAGCCTGCCAGGGACAGTCAGGGCGCCCCTCGTGCCCTCTGCTCCATGGGGTGGGGGTGGGGCTCCCCACTGCTGGCACCGACCAGGGTGGCGTGTGCAGCATGGCCAGGAACGGAGGCCTGGGGCCTGAACTCAGAAGGGCCCATGTTGGCAGAGTGTTTGTGGAGTCTGATATTTTTGACACAATTAATCCATGAAACAAATAACAACTTTCAAAAACAACTCTAATGAAGTAAGAGACAACTTGATAGGATATCAAAACCCCAAGCCAGAAATGAGAGGCTGTATTTCTATTTTACCACAGCCTTCCTGTGTGGTTTCAAACAGCTTCCCCCGAGTGGCTCAAGTCTTCCTTAGCCGTCAAATCTAGAAATGATCTTTCAGAGAAAGGGAACCAAGACCAAGGACACATGCGCAGCAAGGATCAGCCGGAGCCTGCGGCGGAAGACCAGACCCTGACGTGGCTGAGGGGAGACAGACCCTCGGGGAGATGCAGTGAGAGTCTGACTTACCTTTCGCTTATCTACGGGACCCATCTTTAGTATTAAGTTATTTTCTACAAACTGGTGCCTATAAAAAGAAGAAAACAAGAATGAGACGCTCACGTGAGTCAGGGATAAAAATTCTCCCCAAGCTCCTCCACTCAAAACGAACTTGCTGAGGGCATCTGCGTGCCTTGCCCAGGCCTCTCCCGTCATGGCCCCAACTCGCTCCAGGAACTCAGGAGGCCCCAAGTGTCACAGAGGGCGCAGGTGCCCACTGCTCAACCGCTTTCGGTCAGGGTGCGTGGACCAGCACCGTTGCCTGCTGCTACCTCTGGCTCGGCAGCACAAAGATGGTGGCGAGGGGACGCCAGTTCTCCTTCATGTGAACAAAGCTGGGGTGAACACAGAGCTCCCGAAAGGGAGGAGGCTTCTGAGAGTCAGCCCCAGGACACGGACTGCTGGCCACGTGATACCTCCCCAAGCTGGGCCCCCCAATCCAATGCTCAGAAACCACCGAGCAGCTGTGAATCACAGATCCTGGAAAGACCTGTGCCAGACTTGGTTTGAGAACATCTTCTCTGGTGTTTCTACCACAGTAACACAGCACTCCTACTCAAATATGGCAGGCGTTTGGAAGAGAAAGCTAGGAACACAACTTTGACCTAATGTGCATTCTTAGCAAGTATACTTCACTTTGACTCCAAGGAGGATAAAAGAGGTTGTTTTAATGTCTACGGGTTCTTGCTTTTGGTTAAAGTGAATAGTTACCGGTCTATGTTATGACTTTACTGAAATTCCTGATCTGAGGATCTACTGTAGAACACAACAATATTTTTTATTTGGAAAGGCCTAAAACAACTGTCATCTCCAATAGTGACAATTTTATTACCACTTTAGTATCTGAGCGCACCCACAAGGGACCCAGTGCGTGCAAGACGACTGGCCGAGCTAGCAAAACCGTGTTTTCCCACCCAGCTCACCTGGCACCGAGGTCTGCCCATGCTAACCCAACCAGACCCAGGCTGGCTCCAAAGCTCACAGAGGCCCCATTCCCAAGAACCCAGCCTACATGTGAGTGGACATAGCCGCAGGTGGATTCTGAAAACTAAAAAGAATTTTAATGAAAACAGTGCTGTATGAGGAAAAGTACAACACCTCCCTCTCAGAGTTACTTAAAAACCAAACTAACAAACAAAACCAAGACTTGAAACAAAGAGGAAAAAAATTCAGGAGATTTTTGAAAAGCAGATAGAATGATCTGCAGCACAGAAACAGATCAGACAGAAAGTCCCTTCTAACCAACAGACCCTAATGTAGAAGAACTGGATGTGTAGTAAAGAACCATAAACTAACCATAAGGGGAAGACTTGAATTAAAGTGTACTAGGTGTGGGAGGGTCCGGGGCGGGGGAGGCAGCCAGACCCCCGGGGGCGCTGGGCCGATGGTGCCACAGTACCAGGGAAGCCTGACAGACAGGTACAGAAAGAAGTGGCCTCACGGTATCTTTGCAGCCTCATGTGGTCTGACAGGAGACACCGAATGAAATATTAAATCGAACAAGAGATTCTGGTTTTCCCTGAGCTTGAGAAACTGGGGAAGATTTTTCTCGAGGATAGTTGACACTGAGTCCAGTTCACCGGCAGCCCCAAAGCAACCCAACCCCCCCGCCAGGGCCGAGCTAGGAGAGGGGGGAGGAGTTTCTGTCTAAGCAGCAGTCAGGACCACGGGAGGACAAAAGCACCTCCAACTACAGAACCACCAGGGTGAACCAGGAGGCAGGCTGGAGAGGTCTTCAGTAAATATGGCCCACAGGGTCAACATCACTCTGCAGAGCACATGCAAAGCAACAGGAAAGGCTTAAAGCTTAAAAAAAAAAAAAGAACAAAGGATACAAACTAGCAATTCCCCAAAGAGGGCATGGCCCCCAAATTTTCAATGGCTCTAAGGAAACAAAACTGAGCTAGCTGCCCTTCCTGGGTGCCCTACTGGGGTTGCCCCGGTGTGTGTGTGTGAGCACCTGCTCAGCACCGGCGCCTGTGGTCCTGAACTTGAAACTCGCTTAATTTGGAGGGCGCCTGGGTGGCTCAGTTGGTTAAGCGACTGCCTTCGGCTCAGGTCATGATCCTGGAGTCCCGGGATCGAGTCCCGCATCGG